CCCACCCCCGCTCCCCCTCAGTCCATCACAAGCCCCGAGTGGACAATAGAAGTAGAAGATCAAAGTGTTTGTTGAGAGCAGCCGGCGGGGATCTAGCAAATACTTTGATAACAAACCACCACGTTAAAGTCAAGAGTGTGACGGGTATCGATTCAAGCGTCACTGGTTTAGAGTAGAGGCGGCAATAGCTAGAATCACAAGTGGCTTGATGATCGAGGCGTGCGGGTAAATGGAAGGGCGGTCTTTTGCGATTACATCCATCACAGAGCACAGAAACGAGCAGTTCATTTATATATGGATGAAGCCTCGTTGGGGAAACTCACACACACACACACACACACACACACACACACACACACACACACACACACACACACACACACACACACACACACACACAAAGCCCAAAACATCAATAAATATACAGTGACACAGTAGATGGGAGATTTCGAGGCGGCTCTTTTCAGAACTATCAGTAGCTCGGCTCGTATTATATTACCAACGACCAGGTGTCACTGAAGCACAACATTAAACGACTGAGTACACCTGTGTAAAACACAAAAAAATCTACTGTAAGAGAAAGAAAAGAAAAGGAATTTTAAATAGACACAGCTTTGGATAAATACCGGCAACAGTACACAAAAAAAGAGACAAGGGTGGGGGAGGAGAAAAGGGGGAGGGGAGGGGGCGATTATAAAAAAATTGAATAGCTTGATGAAGAACTGAAACCGCAACTGACCACAACATCAACAACCACAAAGGTGTTAAAGCTATTTATTGTTGGGGTTTTTTAAAACGAGTGCTCTCCTTAAACAACTTTGTCGATCATCAAAGTTTAGTAAGAGGTTTGTGGCGCTCGCAACTGCACAATCAAGTTTATGTTTTAGTAAGAATTTTACAGCACCAGTAACACAAATAGGTCATTCATAGAGGTGTCAAAGATAAGTGTTACTAGAGAGTAACATACAAAGAAAAGAAGGAGAGAAAAGAAAAACAGATGTTTGACAGGAAAGGAGCAACCCTCACTAGAGCACCTGCCATACACCCACTGCCAATCAAAGAACAATTCAACACGCAGAGACCCACTAACAACCACACGAGTATTGCTCAAAAGAAAGAAGGTAAACTGTACATTTTCCAGGCAGGAATCAAGTAGACCAATATATATTAGCGCCCGTCTACAGAACAATATGCAATGAACAAAATTAAAAGGGACACACCCAACATCTTTGCTTTCTGGGACCTAAAGACTCAATAGTTTCCCCGGTCCACAACTCGTAATAATAATTTCTTCCTTGTCAAATCAAAAGCCTTTTGTTTTGGTTGAGAGCAATGTTAGCCTGGAAAACTGTAGAGCAGAGTAATGACGGACAACTGACGAGCATTCTGTCAACAATTAGCAGTCGTGTCCGAAATTCAAACGACGGGGGGGGGGAGGGGGGGGGGGAGAATGCACGCTAACTGTCGCGTTAACTAACGGAGCAAACGCCTACGTCACGTAGAGGGTAGAGCCCCACATGTCGAGTGTCGGTGAAGGAGGTGTCGTTTATTCCCCGAGTTCACGGGGCCAAGTGAGGAGGGGGGGGGGGGGGGGGGAGAGACACACACACACAGAGAAGAGATAGAGAGAGATTGGGGTGGGGGTGGGGGGGACGCGTCTCTTCCACTCCAGTCACGGTCCACACACACGCACGACGCACACACTTGCGCACGCACACATGGTGTCACACAGTACTAGCTGGGACTGCTGAGACGCACGGAGCAACAGGTTGAAATTCCCGCCACGGGCCGAGGACACACAAAGGTGGCAGTTGGGGACAGCTGCAAGCCAAACCCCGACCACAGGGTTCTCCGTTTGGCGGTTTGTTTCTAGGTCTCAGGCACACAGACAGGCCTTCTGCCAATATCAGCAGTTTGAGATCACGCGGGAAGAAAAAGACCTAAACAAAGGACTGTCTACCCATTATTTTGTACTAAAGTTCAATAGAGAGGTACAGCATTTCAGTTTACAGACGAAATTGACTAGGTTCAAATGAACTGGAAAAAAATACACTGTAAACACACACATACAAAAACAAAAAGATTTAAAATGTGGGATGATTGAAAATGCCAATTGAAACTAGATTCTTAATTTTAACCAAGGCTTTAGTGAGCTAAATACCGTCCCATAACAATTCGATTCTCTTCATTTGCTAAACCACCTAAACAGCAACCAGACACGTTAACATGCGACCACTTTCTAATTTCAATGTAAGTGTTTTTTAAGGCCCACACTGATGCAATTTAGATCACAATTTTGATTGCATTGTGTATACTATTTTATGCTCATTTCGTGACGATGTGAAAGCGTGTGCGTGTGATAAGCAAGTAGATGTGTGTGTGTGTGTGTGTGTGTGTGTGTGTGTGTGTGTGTTTGGCATACATGTGTGCGTGTTATGTGTTCGTGAGTGTGTATGTGTGTGTTTGTGTGTGTATGTGTATATATGTGTGTGTGTTTGTGTGTGCATGAGTGTATGAGTGTTTGTATTGTGCGTGTGTGTAGCGTGCGTGAATATTGTTTGTACATGCATTTATGTAAAGCGCCTAGAGCTGTGTTTACACGGGAGTGGGCGCTATAGAAATGATCTTCATTATTATTATTATTATTACAATTTAGGAGGTGGGCTTCGAACCCTGTGTGTCATGGCCTACTCAGGCTGATAGGGATACAACATCCCAGCAGAAAAGCGAGATACTCCATTTTAGTTTTAGTATGAGTTTTACGGCACTTGCAAGACAATAAGGACATATAAGTGCGGGAGATTAGAGGTGTTACAAGAGAGTAACAAACACAAAAAAGGAGGGGAGATAGAGACGATAGATTTTATAAAGGAAAGAAGGAGCAAACCACACCAGTGCACCCGCCAACCACCAACCGAGATACTCAATAAAAATTCTCCTCACTTAGGATTCGAACTCGGGTCTCCTGTGCGCAATAACGATTCGCCAAAACTGTACACCACAGACGCCAGTAATAAGTAAATTCACAAAACCACACGTTTGAGGAAGTGGTGTGACTTTAAAGTATGCATGGCTATATCGCTATTCTCGTCGCCCACAAAGTTGTTGGACTGGTCCACGCTATCGTTTAGTTCAAGATCTAGATCTAGTCAAAGCACAGTTGTAGTTGTTCCACTTCATGACAGATAAGAGGTTTTGCCTTAGCAGTGTAGAAGGAAAATGATAGTTATGCAATATCTTACTAAGTTGGGAAAACGAGAACGCTGCAACGCAACCGAAGCATGCAAAAAAATCTGGGCGTTCGCCGTTTCTCGGTCACCGACGCGGCCTGGTATAGCCCCGCTTCGTTCTTTGTTTCTTTTTATAGTATAGCAAGAAGTTGGAAGGTGGGAGGGGAGGGGAGGGGCTGGGGCTGAGGGACGCCGTAGCGTGGCGTCTATTAAGGACAGCGTCCCTTGAACGGATTCTGGAGGTTAAATTGTAGTCTTCAAAATGTAACACAAGGCCACAACTACAGCTCACCACCATACATAGACTTGGGTGTATATTAATAATTATTGATGTAGCTCTCAAAATGGAAAAGTAAGCGAAGCAGACCAGACGAGAGCTTCCTTCCGTCAACTACCCTTTATATTGAAAACACGAGTGCACGCTAACCTCTATAGAAGTTTGAATTCAAAGAACAGCTGAGCCGCACCAGGCACAGTCAGTTGTCAGCTGCCGCACCCCTCCTTAACAGGATGTAATAACCTCACCACAGTTATTTTCCCAACTGAGACTCCCTTCTTCCCCCTCCCCCTCGCCAATCAAGATTTCCTACCCCCCCCCCCCCCTCTCTCTCTCTCTCCTCTCCCCCCCCCCTCTCTCTCTCTCTCCTCTCTCCACACTCAAACATTTAAGACCTACATTTAATTGCTTCTTGTGTAAATTTCAACATTCGTGAAAGGTCATAAGGTTATAAATAACAGAACTAGAACAGAACAAAACACATATTAGTTCAAATGCAAACATCAACAGTGAATTAAAACCTCTGGAATGAAAGGTCAATCCAGTCAACGTTCAACAGCACACTCACAGAGCCAAGTATGGAAAAGGAAAACAAGAGTGACGTGTGGACAAATATGTTATAACTCGAAAGAAAAGTAAATTATGAATTTACCATCAACTGAACATTGACAAAAACAAGGAGAATCTTAAATTGGTCCTACCTTTCTAACGTGGGAGAATCTGCCAACGACGAAGAGTCTGAGAAGCACCCTGAAAATATTTTTTAAAGAATATGAGTAGTTGTACAATCAATTTTATACAAAACAAAGTGGTGTCTAAAAGTAAGTAGATTCTAATATGTCTAATGGTTACAAAACATAGATCAACATATATATAACTCAAGTAATATATTTTGATATAACAGATGACATTCTACACAGAAAGATCAAGCGCAGCTCAAAGTTAAATAGCGTGTCGTTTTTTTACAGAATGACAGAGAAAGGATAGTGCTACCATAACAACACCTATTAATTACCCACAGTTTTCACCAAAGACAATTTTTTGACTAATTTAATTTATATAATGTACATGTGTACGTATAATTTCTTCTTTATTCTGAATTAATTTGACTTTCTTTTTTCACAGGTCTTGTATTAAGTATGTGAATAAAAGGGACATCAACTTCAGGTTGTCATTAAATTTCGGCACCCGTGTAATAGTGGTGCTGAACAACTAAGGTGATCGGCATTTTCACAGGCACCCCCACACCAATACCATTCCTCTCCTTTATCTCTGCGAGAACATTCCGCGCCTGGTTCCCGCCTCGGTGGTTCAAAATCGCAGATCGATAAAGGCAACAAAAGCTGTCCCAGTCACGTCAAGAACAGCGCAGGCACGCACGCACGCACGCACGCACACACACACACACACGCACATGTCCGCACACACACACTCTTTACTGCTTTCATATTGAATTTAAACCTGAGATATCATGATAGTTGTGTATGTGAATGAAAGAAAGCCTTATCAGTCAAATTTTTCTTTTTCCTCTATGAGTGCTTATGTGTCGTAGTCATAGAAAAGTACACGTCGTCGCAATTTGAGACCAGGCCAGTTGAAGCTAGGCATTGCTTTCATAAATCAAAACTAATCGGCTTCGAAAAATAACCCTCCAACCCCCTCATTTCTTTACCTTTAATTCCCCTCCTAACGGCCCAACCTTGGAGCAAGACAGCTGGGCTGGAATGGAAAAACCTGCCATACGTACAGTCGGGTGTGTTGGATTTTGGCGATATACGGTTATATGCCATGTATATTATAGATCTAAGTGAAACAAGTTCTACAATGGTGTGTGTACGAGCGCGTGGGTGTTTGTATGCGTGTGTGTGTGTGTGTATTTGCGCGCGTGGGCGTGTGTTTGCGTGTGCGCACGTATGCGGGAACGACTTCGACGGCGGGTAACGTCTGAGCGTGTGATTTGAGAAGGGGGGGAGAGGGGGAAGGGGGGTCACGGCTGGACACAAGTCTTTGTCCAGAGGCGAGATTACACATCTGGCATTTTGCTGGCACATCGACAGAAGCCCAGGGAAAGAAACTGCGAGTGACCCGTGCTTGAGGGCACATGGGCTGATGGTGATAGTCCGCGCAACTTACACAAACCTGGTACCCCGTACTTAAAAAAAAAGACGAAAAGAATGGAGTGCAGACCAATTATATACCCCAGTTTCCTGAGCACGTGTTTAGTATAGAAATGTGTACGGGACACGTGCAACGACTTTAACTAAAATTAATTCACATTTAATTTATATTCCTCTACGGGTTCTGCTAAATGAGAAATAATACATCCAAAGCAAAGGGACAATGCTTGTATTATACGTAAAAATATACACTTAAACAACAAAGACATATAATAAAATTCCGCCACCCAACCCCCAAGCTACCAAGTTCACAAGTCCACACCCATAAAATAAACTACTTCCCATTCATTTTTTCCTAGAATAATTAAAATTGAAGTCACCCGCGCGTCGGCAAACATTCTTTCCATTGACGTGTATATCCTCTTAGCGCCTACATGCAATGCTACATGCAATGCACATTAACTGTACAAGTACATCAACCGTGTGAACTTTTATACCCCTGTTCCCCCCCCCCAAAAAAAAAACTGTTTGGCACTTGCTTTCTCCCCACTGACCATCGTATTACAGTTTCATCTTACATACTAGGGCACAGGGTAGCAAAACCACCTATGACCAAACATGCACTTATAATAATGATAACAATCATAATAATAGGGAGGAGGAGGAGGAGGAGGAGGAGGAGGAGGAAGAGGAGGAGGAGGAGGAGGAGGAGGAAGAGGAGGAGGAGGAGGAGGCGCAGCTGTAAACAAAGTGAGAAGGAGAAGTAGAAGAAGAAGTAGAAGAAGAAGAAGAAGAAGAAGAAGAAGAAGAAGAAGAAGAAGAAGAAGAAGAAGAAGAAGAAGAAGAAGAAGAAGAAGAAGAAGAAGAAGAAGAAGAAGAAGAAGAAGAAGAAGAAGAAGAAGAAGAAGAATACATCCTATACAATGGCACAACGTGAATACATGTACACTGGCAACGGACAATCTTACAGAACACGTACATGAAATAAGACGCTTTTATCTGAGGAAAACACAGCACACTACACCCTACACCTGAGTGTATGTGTGTGCGCACGCGTGTGTGTGTGTGTGTGTGTGTGTGTGTGTGTGTGTGTGTGTGTGTGTGTCCGTGCGTGCATGCACGGGGACATCGGAAGTGAAAGGTTTGTTGTGACCCAGATGACATATCCAAGCATGCTAACATTCCAAGAAGGAAGATGAGAGACATTAAAGGATGCCAGTGTTGCCCCCCCCCCCCCCCCCCCCCCCATAATATTCAATTCATCTGAAATTAATTTGACGGCAGATGCGCGCGCAAGTTTTTTTTTGTTTTGTTTTGTTGGGGGGGGGTTTTTTTGTTTGTGGTTGTGTTGGGTTTTTTTGGGGGGTGTCTTCTTCTTTTCTTTTTTAAGTCCTCCATTTGAGCTGTAAACAAAGTGTTTGTCATTTGCAGATGTGGTATCCTGCAAGCTATTATAATATGTCAACTAGGATCATGAATTAGAAAATACGGGAGAAAAAAAATGAAATTAAAAAAAAAAATAACACAAAAACAAAACAAGAAAAACGTGTACAACCCAATTGGAATAGAAGTATAACATGGATCTCTTTCTTCAAGCAATGATATTCTTTCTTTCCTATAAATTTCCTCAGCAGCTGCAGCTGAAATAAATGAATGAGTTCTAATAGGATGAAAGAAAGGGGAGCTCAATGACGCAAAAAATCGATAGACTTGTCCCTCTGAATCTGAGCCGTCTGCAAGCTCCGTGGTTGACTGGAAAGAACGACACCCCACCTCCCTCCCCCCACCACGTCTTCCTTCCCAGTAACATACGGCCGTACCCTCATCAAAGAGCTCGGCGACAGATTGATGAGATGAATGGCGAGATCCCGAGGAGAGAGCACACGCCCCGCACACGCCGCTCGCTTCAGAGACAATGCGCCCTCAGCATTTCAGAATTTTAATGCGATCGAGCGGGGCGGGAAAGGAGAAGGAGAGTGGGAGGGGGGCGTGGCGCGCGTGCTACAGCTGCGAACGGGGTCATTCAAGATCAGGTGAGTTGACAGACCGCCCGGTGTTTGACCCAGTGAGGGAGAGAGAATCGGAATGAGAGCCCTCAAAAAAAAAAAGGGGGGGGGGGTGGCTTTGCATATTTTTATGGTAGACAATCGGACAGTTCACCGAAAGTTAATATTTATTTATATAGAGAAATGGTTCATCAAGCAATCTAGATCATGGGCGGGACTTTTTAACTGTGCGCTAATTCACTCAGCCTGAATAAAGCAGAACAAACACAGGGTAGAGTTGACACTCAGGGGAGATAAAGGTCATTTCTTGCTTGGAAGTTAATTAAGAAATTAATTAAACAGTAAACCAAAATGAAGAAACCACCCACCATCAAAAATAAAAGGGAGAAGGAATGGAGGAAGGAGATTATATGACAATTTTTTTATTTGCCAGAAAGAGGAACTGTTCATGGACTATGTTACGTATGCATACACACAAAAAAGTTTTCACATATTTCCACACTCTTTATCTTTAACACCACATGTGTACATGCATTATAATTGCAGTTTGAGGGAGAAGTTATAAACCTGCATCCAATGGGTTCACCTTGTACAAATTCTATTATTCTAGACTGAACCCCCCCCTCCCCCCCAAAAAAAAACCCTGCAAAATCTTCACATTCACAAACAGGGACATATATGGAACAAAAAGTTTGAAACGACCAATATTTCTGGAAATTTCCAGAAAAGTGGCATTCATTGATGAGGGAAAAGAAATAAAGACTTTACAGAATGCAAGTAGAAGAAAAAAAAAGGAGAGGACAAGCTGGTACACAATTGTTTACTGCCCTTACCTGATTCTGCTGACAGCACATTTTCAGAGTTCTGTTTATCACAGTCATTGGGTGGTGTGTCAATACTTGATAATGAAAGACGTCGTCTCGGGGTACTCCTACAAGAAAAAGGAAAACTAGTTCAGAAAAAGACGATGTGAACTCTATGCTTGACCAAATTTGTCAATACAATTTTAAATGTAATATTAAGGCGAAGAAAGAAAAACTTAATTTATAAAATACTGACATAGAATTTGACACAATATAATATAACATTTACTTTACAAACTGCTCTTGGTGTACAGAAATGGTGACAAATACAAAATAACAAAATATATATATTTGCTTTATCTTTTCTCAAACTTTAATCTCTTTGTAAAAGACTCAATTCAATTAGTGAACAAGAAAATTTACAATTAACTCCTCATCTAATGTCAAAAAGAGTGCAAAGAGTATATAATCTTACCTTCCAGTTGACAATTCACTGAGGTTAAAAGCCAAGTTGGACATTGGCGAGTTGGTCAAGTTAGAAAATCCTGAATCACTTGAGTCCGACATCTTGCGCGAGTTAAGGATCGAGGCAATATTTCTCAAAGGTAAATTGAACTTTTTGGATCTGTTGGACATCTTTCAAAAACAAGAACCTAGATATAGGAATCTATAGATGGCGAATCTCTGTACAGCATTCCACGTAACAGTCCTTTATTTTAGCCTGTGAACATAAAAAAAAAGAATCTTCTTTGTTTCACTTTCATTTTAATAATACAGAAGAAAGCAGTTCCCTACTTAAATACTGTTTTAGACACCTACAAAAAATTGATAAATAAATTATGATAATCGCTAACATTTTTTAGAGCCTACAATATAAATATATAAAGAGCCTGTTGTTAATTTTATGTAAGAGGCTCTCTCACATCTTTCCACTTATATTTCGCCGAACAGAAGGCAAAAATTTCAACTCCATACTGTACAAGAATCTTGTAGGAGGTGGAAGGGTTGAAAGTAAACATCTGATATAAAAAAAGAGGCTAGGAGGGGGGTGTTTCAAGCAATGTAAAGGAAGAGCTGATTGAGGTGCACTGGTAAAATGGACAAAAAATACAATTTGCAACACTTGGAACACCAAACTAGAATTGAGGTCATTAAATTCAGTTAATAAATATAGAGTGAAATCAAATCATATACTTCAAGTCAGTCAAGGGTGGAATCAAGAAAGATTTTTTTTAATGTTTCATATTGGAAAGACCTTTTTTAACCCCTTCACCTCTCTCAAAGCACACACACGCTAATACTCTCAACTCAAGCAGTACAATGTGTGGCTTCAAAAAAGAAACTTCTTCCACCAAACATTTGAAGGCAGAGGACAGAAAAGTAAATGGCCCTGGTCAAAAGTTGAGATTTTGGGACAAATTCTGCTCACATCCCGTGGTTGATGTAATCCTTGGCCAAGCTTAAGTTAGTACCGGCCGGTTACAAAAAAAGATTGAAATGTTTTTCGGTCTAAGGCAGAACATTATTACAACATTTAATTTAAAAGTGAAAGCAATCACCATGCAAT